ACTCTTTCAATGTTTATCAAACTACCCAGTAGATCCCTGAAAAGTATATTGACTATTTTAACGAACATTTTTAAAAGTATGTGTGCTGATGTATTTTTCATAAACTCAAATATGATTTTTATGCTACACTTATTGTTGACTATATAAGGCTGTTCTTCTTTTCTTACTTATCTCCAGCATTTCTTATCATTTTCTCTTTCTTTTCGTTGTTATTACATGAGAGTGAAAATGTCTCTAGTCTCGGATGATTTTACTCGAAAGATTTTCTTTGAAACTCACGATGATTTAGAGAGACAAGATCCCACAAGCATTCAATCGACTCTACAAGCTCTTCGCTCTATTGATCCGAGTAATAAACAAATAGAGATAATTAATATTGGCTGTGGTTCTGGTACGACTGCCATCAAATTAGTAATATTAGGGAATCGCGTAACTGCAATTAATAATAATTAACCGTTGATAGACAAGTTATTGATACGAACCAAGAAGGAAGGGTGTGAGTGAATCGAATGCTCCTATTCACAACCATACCCGATATATGATGCTTGAGTTTAGATTATAAAGGTTTTTACAATAACAGTATGTTATATCATTGGTGCATCTCTTATTGTGGCTGCGTTTCTTTCACGTGAGAATTACCGATGGCTGAAGACAAAGACAAACTATGTACATATGATTGAAGATTAGACCTACATACGTCCACATACTCTTCTATCACTTGGTGTTTTACATCATCTTTGTTGTGGCATACTCTGTGAGTTTTCAAAATAAAAAACATCACTTGCATAGTGTTTCAATAGTTGGTCAAAGTCAATATAATCTTATCTCTCATTCAGTTATTCTCTATCGTCTGCCACCATTTTTCAGAAACATGCATCCGCCATTGTTCGAAAACCTTGATGAGTGCCTGAGATTCTACATGCACTTCTTTTTTCATCATTTTTACTGAAGGACTAAAACTATGTCAATGGAAAAATCGATTCATTTTTTATTATCAACGTCTTAATACTAGAGCTGTCACCTGGCAGATGTAACATTGAAGTTCGACAATAATTGCTTTACGAAAGATGAATGATGTACAAAAAAACTCCTACAAGACTCGATCAGTTTACAGTGAATGGGCAACGACACAATAACGAATTGACACTTATTAAAGGCATCAACTACCATTTTAAAATTTATCAATACAGTTTTAGCAAACAACAATTTCTTATTTTAGTTGAAGAACTTTGAAAAAAAGAAATCAATTTAAAAAAATCGATGTGATACTAGAGTGAATGAGAATCGATTAAAAAATTTGTCCTTTCTTATCACCCCACCATTTGGTTAAGAATTCGTCGATTGTCATCGGTTGTATTTCAGGAAACTTCGCATTTAATATGGCTTCAAAATCGGATTCACCTTGTGCCATAGCTATGAATGCTTCTTGCATGAACTTCATCATTCTATTAGTTGATATTAGATCGCATTGTTTCAATGTTTCATCGATAGTCATGCGTTTGACGTCGAATTTCTTTCCTCTTATTTGTTCGCCCAATTTAATCAACTGATTCCATGTCGTTCGACTTCCAACCATTCCCATTTTCTCATCCCATTTATCTAAATCAAGTGCAGCAGCAACAAATCTGCCTACATCATCAGCTCGAGTCGTACAAAATGGTTCATCACCTGTACCGACAATGTTTGCTTCGCATTTATTGAAATCAACACCAACGATATAAGGAGGCAAAGATGGACTTGCTCTTTGTGGCGATGCAAAATAATCCATAAAAAGACCAGGCATAAATACTGTAAATTCAATACCAGAAGCTTTAATCTTGTTGCGAACAGGTATTTTAAGTTCACGATAGAGTTGTATTGCTGAATTTGCATCACTATTACTGCTCCATTCCGATGGAGCAAATCGTTTTACTTTGGCTTCTAAACAAGCATCAAGCAAATTCAATTGAGATTTCATAGCAGACTCGTCAATTCCAATGAAACAAGAGATCACCGTGTGTACTCCTTGCAATTCAAAAACGAGTGATTGATGATCAGAATAGTTAACTTTTATGACATTGACTCCTTTTGCCGTGAGATCGAGTAATGATAAAGGATCTTGACGAGTAAAAACTTTGACAATGTATTTCTTAGTATCAACAATACCATTGACAATATGACGACCAATACCACCAGTACCACCGGCAATGACAACCAATTTAGTTTTGTTTTCAGTCATTTATCTAGATGAAAACAAATGTGTGATTAGAAAAACGTGACAATAATGAGAGTAAAAAGTAAAAAGAGAAAAAGCAAAAATCTGTTAGAATATCTTATCTATCTGATATAGAAGAAGAATAAAGGATACAAAAATACCTTATCATTTTGACGTACACAAAGAGTAAAGAACGACGGATACAATACATTATCATGATCAAATAAGCTGTGGATAACTGAACGCATCACTGAAATCCACGTACACAATTTTATCGATATCTGTTCTATAAAAAAAAATAAGACGAATATTTCGGCAATTTCGATGATTCATCATTTGTGATTTATAAATAGGCATAAATAATAAATTTCTACAGAAGAAGAGTAGTTCCTTTTAGAAGAATATTCATTTCAAATTGAACGATGATACAGTATATAGTGATGTCAAACAAGTGTTTGCTTTCCTCATGAGTATGCATAATTGCAAGCACTAAATCACAAGACATGTCTCTTGTCCTTATTTTGTCGAACGTTATTAACTTCGTCTTTTTTTTGTCATTATTATGTCACAGAACTTTGTCTATTCTCTTATCTTTGATGATAGAGTAATATTGAGAAACGCGTCGCCGATCGAACCAAGATCAATCATTAGAAAAAGATGTTAAATGTTCGTCTACAACTGATATGGATATTCGAAAATTGGGACATTATTAAACGAGACAATTGCAGTCTTTTAATCATTCTTTATTTCTGACCAAAAAATAAAAAAATCAATACTATAGACGATAAAATCATAAATCATTTTCTCAATAAACTTAGAATTCATACGATGATCATCACTTTTGAATAAGTCATCGAATTATAGTTGAATACTTGCCGAATCATCGAATAGACCAATCTCAAACTAAAGTCTATAATTCATGTAATATCTCAGAACTGAATATATAGCTACATGTCTGGTATCGTAAGACTCAATTTCACGTCAAATGAATGGAGCATCATCCATGATTATGTTCAAATCAGATACAAACTATTGTTACATAGTAATTGACCAAGAAATTCTTGTCACTGCAAAAAACTCTTCTTTCTCTATTTGTAAACTACAAGCATCTATTCACTTCCAGTCAAAGTAAACATAGTTGAACCAAATATTGTCCTAAGGTGAATGATGCTATTCCAAGGTTAGAATAAAAGCAATCATAGATAAGCATATTTTTTTAACAAGTAGGATTTTATTTTTTCGATAAGTTAGTTCTTTCTGAGCAACAATTGTTTCTGTCTAAGTCTTGAAAGCTCTGAATTACTCATGATTAGATTTCTGCAAAGTGGTCACGGTCTCTTGTGACCGTGACTAGTTTTCGAAAAATTGTCGTGACTGGGTTCGTGACCGTGATCAAATAGCTCGTGATCGTGACTTAACGATGAAAAATGTTGATATTAAAAATCTAATTTTTGTGAAAACAAAATCAAGATTTTGATTGATTTACGGATTTTCTTTGTTTTATTATGGAGAAAATCTACGAAATCAATTTAAATCTTGATTTTATAGCACAAAAATCCAACTAGTAATCCAAAATTTCCGTGACCATGACTAGTTTCGAAAAATCTCCGTGACTATGAACGTGATGTGATTGAAAAATCGTGGTCACGCAGAAGTCTACTCATGACACAATGTACGATTTCCGGTAATTGTTTTTCCAGTTCTACACAAGATACTAGCGATGATTTTTTCTAATATGACGAAGTTACATGAAAAGTAGAAGGGCTGCTTGACGTGTATTGGATAAAAAAAATGTTGCTGCCGTTACCCATGAAAACGTTGTTGACAAATATATCTAGTTGCAACACACATCAAAAATCGTATTTCTATGTATGATATGAGATTTTGATGTAGATCTAATTTAGAAAAGCAGCATTCGTTGTTATCTGAACTCCTAAGAATAAAAGACCATGATATTCTATTACGAGTATTTTTCACCTACATCCACACCCACACCCCACACCCAAGATTGAAACATTCGTTACAGAATTCAAAAAATAATATTTGCCAAATAAATTCGATTAAGAATTTTTCATTTGAGATACTCGAAAGAATCGATCAGATTTCATATTTAGAAGGAAAAAAACTCGAGAAATACAGCAATATTCTATATGAATAACTTGGCAACAGGCGTTCTTGGTTATAGTAGATATGATACGTTACTCGGCAAATCCATCTCTTAAAACTTGATTTAAAATGGAACTATTAGTATGAGAATCACGAAGAACTTCTCTATATACATTACTCCTAGGTTCAATCGTTCTTTCAAACAGTAGTTAGTTAATTCATTTGTAATAATCAAATATAGAAACATGAATTTTTTTTAATCAGTTGAAAATCAAAAATATTATGATAGATTTTTCTTTTACAAATGATAATTGGTGTTGTTGAAGAAAAAAATGAGTTTGTATTTCAATTGATTTTTCTTTTTACATTATCTACATAGTGAGAGGTACCAATACAAAAACTTAACTAGATGAATAAAGAAAAACGTAATCACAATATAGCTCGATCGAATAAAACAATGATATAATACATGTAACAAGTATAACAAGCTAAAACATGAAAAAGTATATCTAAATACTCTTCTACACAATAAATATCAACATAAGCTAAATTAAATTTACCACATACCATATGGAACAAAGTTATTAGATAAAATAAGGAATTAATCACGAGAAATAAACATACAAATACATACCACCATTTTGATGTTTTCTTTCTTTCTGGCTCCACCTCGTATCATATGTATATAAATGGTGTCGCTAAATACAGTAGCTACTTTTTGATCTCGAACATTGTTGTCTTCTAACTTCCGTTCCTTACATTGTTAATTAACTTCTTTCTCTTTTTGTGTACGCAAAAAGTGAGTACACTCTAGAATCGATCAGTGTGTCCGTCCGTTTACACGATAACTTTTGAAAGGAGAGTCCGATCGCGATAAAATTTTCTACACAGTTCAGTCTTAACAGTATCTCGGTCGAGTTCGAAGATGAAAAGAATTGGCCGAACCATTCCTGAGCTATTGCAAAAATACTCATTTTTCCCTATGGCTTCCTATACGAAAATCGACCCATGCCCGCTTTCGTAAAAAACTTTTTCTATCATACTCAAACAAAACTCCAACTATGATATACCATTCGATAGAGAATTTTACGAGCTACAAAATGGTATATAAAACATAAAGAAACAAGAAGACTAACTCACTTATTGCAAAGATAAATAAACGGAAATCAGTTCTGTTCTTGTCCACACTCTAACTGATCCACAATTAGAGTACTAGCTTCCGATAAGAGGTGATGCTTGAAGATTTTCTGGGGCGGAGAACTCGAATCTGTACTCCACTTGTTTCGAAGCCCTATTGGTTGAGCTCTGAACAATAGAAATCAAGTTATAGAAAAACGCCTTTCTGAGGGTAAATTAAGGCGAAGAGTTCAAATCTGAGTTGTATTCGCCCCAAATCGTATTGGTTGAGGAGTAGTCAATAGAATTCAAGTGTTTATAGAAAAGGTTTGCCAAGCTAATTTGTATATCCACACATTCTAGGATGACTGATTTGTCTCATTCACTTTTTGAAGTACACATAACTCTC